AGTGCCACATTCGGTTACATAGTATGAGTAAGTCGCATAGTCCTTGTCTGTGCACTCAAGTGGGCAATCGGGGAAACGGATGTAAGGTATTTCATTCGGTAAAATTGAACCAACAAAATATTATATATAGTACAAGAGACTTACTGGCAGTTATCTTAACATGAATAAAATCTATAGTATTTAGAATTTAACATACCTGGTGCAATGGTTAGAGTAGGTAATTATGATTACGGATACTGCATTTGAACTACATCGTATATTTCATAGATATGTCCGTATCGTAACTGGGACGAAAAAGTACTGTTCATTTATTGTTGATCTATACATACATCTAGAGATGTATCCTAACGGTTAATTAAGTATCGTGTTTAACGATGAAGATACTGATAATTTCTATAAATAGAATATTTTGTTGATGTTGTGACATTTTTCTTGAGTGTCCTTGAACACACCCATCTCCCAATATGTTTATATACTTAAAAATTTAAGTTGTTTATTACTTTTTTAATGAATATCTAGTACGCAATTTCAGTGGGTTTTTGATTTTTAGTAAACGAAACAGAAATCAACTTGTTCTCTTAACTCTTTCAACGTTTGCCGCTAAACGGATTTGCCTCGACCAAATATATATGTGTGTGTGTGTATTTGATTTTATTTATACTCGCCACCGGTTGCCCATATGGGCGAGTCCTCCAGAAGAGTATTTGTCATTTTATATTTTGGAGGATACTGCAAGATACAGTTTCAGAATATACAGATTCCCATGGTTCTTTAACGTGCAAAGTGTTTAAGCACCCATACACGGGACCTCAATTTAAAGTCTCCGAAAGACTGATTAGTTATTTTAGTTGGCCAGCCCGGGAATCGAACCCACAATGTACATATTACAAGTCCCGCGCTCTAACCGATTGAGCTATGCGGATTAGCTAAAAATATATATATTTAGACTGGCGAAGTATATAGAGTTAGGCCACCGCGTAGGCTGCCTCGATTCTTAACTTTTGATTTGTCAAGTTTTGCTGTTTGAAATTAAAGACCTTGTGTGAATTGAAAGTTCCTTTAAATCCGTTTTATGAATGCACAAAGTCACGGTTTCATTACCACTAATTCATTACTTCAACTTCAAGATTTCACGTTTTGACACTTTCAAAAGTTTAACTCCATTAATTCACGATTTCAACGTTACGATTTCACAGTTTACAAATTCAACTTCACGAATTCACGATTACATTCTGATGATTTAAAATCAATATTTCTTGAATTCGTGACATTAAAAATTGTGAATTAATGAAGTTGCTGAAATTGTGAGTTATCATACCTCACGTGGCAGTTCTCTAGAAAAGATTATATTTTAATACTTTGATTTTTTTATTCTTGATTGATCCATATTAATATATACGAATAATATGAAAATTTGTACATAAAAAAAACAAATTAATTACATGAACGCGCAATTTGTGTGAATTTAAAAAGGAATTTCAAAAATACAACTTAAAGAACACGGATACAAAAGGATAGTGTTGTTGTTTGCAAAGCACGGTTATTCTGTTGGAAGTATGTTGTAATTAGTGTATAAATTCAACAATTTTAGACAAGATAAACCCTTTCAATAGACATCTAGCAAAACCACAAATCAAATTTAAAAAAAAAACATACATTTTAGTACATTTTAATACATTTACATCGACAGACTGACTGATCGTAATCAAACAAAATCATCAAGGTTATCTCACATTGTGTTAAAATATTTTCCGTTTGACATCATTTAAAATGACTTCAAGCGACTTTATTACTTTCAATGCACGTTACGTTACCATTTTATTATTGCAATTTTATGAAAGTCGGACGGCCGCACCTAAGTCAAATCTATTTATTTGCATGAATTGTTGCTGTTTTTCCCCATCATTTCCTGAATCTGGTATATATAGGGGATTTCCCAAAAGCATAATTTTATAACTTTATATACATGTGTTATGTACAATGAAATTAAGACTAAATATACATATATAACAACAGGTAGTTGTTTCGCCCCTCTGGTTTCTGAAATCTGATATATCGAGTTCATATTAAACCACATCAGTTTCTTCTGAACATTATCTTGATCTACAACATTGAGCGCTGGAACGCCAAGTGCCAGGTGGTTACGGTTTCGAATCCCGCTAGACACTTGGGATTCTGTCATGTGAGGAAGCTATCCATCTAGCTTAGTTCTACTCAGGTGCTCGTTCGTGACTGAAATACTGATACACTGCAAATAGGGCCACGTGAGGTCTTTCTCCACCACTCTACAAGGCAAAGGCAACATTCACAGGACGCAGCTCCCGACACACCCAAGCCACCACAACAGGGCACCCAGAAGGCATCAAACCAAGTGGACATAAGGGCAGCGAAAGGAGTGGGAAGTCGCCACAGGAGATTTGTTCAACGAAAACAAAAATATAGTCTGAGTTTGTGTAAAGTTATAAACACATTGTTTTAAACCTAATTATTATTGATACGTAAAGAGTTTGCATGCTGGGGAAAATTGTCGTCAGCTAAAAATGTCGTCTGCTTATTGTTTTTATTTTTTATTAAATGTATTTAATTTTCTCTAAATTATACTTATAAAGGGTGGATGACTAAAAGCTTGGTACTTGGTAAGACTAAATAATTTGGTATTTGATGTGGTACCAAGCAGATAACAGAAGTTATTGAGGTCGGGACTTAAGGTTATACATTTGTAACTTGCCTTCTAGCTGCAATCACGCGGAAATGGTCCTAGGTTGGCATTTATATTAGTGGCATGAGAATATAATGAACTATATTTTGTCGAAATTGGTATAGAAAGGCCATGTCACTTTGCGTAGTAACACAGTTATGGAACTTTGAATGGATTTGTTTTCTATCAACTGAAGTTCAGCAAGGCCATATAAAATGTAATAAATAAACTTACCTGGCATGAAATAGAGATTGGTGGTGGTGTTGTTGTTGTTTTTGTTGTTGTTGTTGTTGATGATAATGATGATGATGGTGGTGATCGTCTGCTCATCACGTTTAAAGCATAAAAATAATCACTCAATACATTATTCACTTAAAAGTCAGTCCATTCTTTATACCAATCATTATAATTATGACGTTTTCACTGTAATCCGAATTGTAAACACGAGTCAACATGTATATATTTAAGAAAGCTAATTCCTTGTTTACATCTACAATCAACGTTATATCTGGCCGAACATCGCCTATTAATCACGAATTTTCACCGTTACATGAGTTCAGGCGCTTCAAGGCGTATATAATTTGCATTTTATTAAAAATGCAATATACGAATAGGAAATACTACGATAATGAATGTTGAAGATAATTCATTTTAACTGATTTGATATGATGATGGATTTGATATGATGATGGATTTTTAAATTAAACGGAATTGATAGCAAGATTGACATTGTTGTTGTTATTATTATTGTTGTTGTCGTTGTATTCGTCATTGTTTTGTCGTCTGCTTTATGTTGTAAACTTGATACGCGCACACATTATCAACGCGCGAGAAAGCTATAATTTTTCATTACAGTCAGGAACAATTTAAACACCACGGAAAGTATGTTATTATCAACAAAGAAAACATATTCTTTTACAGATACTTTTGTCAAATGTTTATATTCAATACAGGGTACATGTTACTACTCATAAATTTACTATATAATATGTAATTGGTCTAACATGTATTGAAATGTATATGTAATAAACTTTATCTTTGCTTTGTATTATCACAGAAAATGTTTAAGCTGTCATCCAGTTAGTTTTCAAGTTATCTGTCCTTAAAGTTGAAAGTTTTGCTGATTTCAAGGGCAGATGTCTTCTGACGAAAATGTGTATGTTTTCTCGACATCAAAATAAAATTTCATTGAATTCCATATAATATTTGTGTTGCTTTTCTTTCTTTTTCTAAGTAATGAGACTGAAGATAGTTTAAAATGAGACCAGTTTTGTTATTGTTGTTGCTGCTGCTGTTGTTAATAATAGAACACTATACGTCAAAAACCGCTGCAGTACTTTCATTAGTTTGTTCTTATAACGTATGACGAAAATCGCAATTATACATGCATAACATACATGTGTATAGCAGAAATCGCAAACCAATGTCGACGATCGCTATATTGCATTACCAATAATGATGGCAACCGCTTCATTGTATTACATATGTCGCAATCGCTATTCTGTCTTACATGCAAATGGCTGTGGTTACTTTTACTTATTACATACATGTATCAAAATTATGGAGAACGATATGTATATATTAGAAGACGTTTATTTGATAATGAGCCAATTCGATATGCTTTGAAAGGTATATACATGAAATATGTACAATAATGTTTTACGTGTGTAATACTAAAATAGTATAAAAAACAACAATAACAATAAAATAATAACTGCACAGTAAATAACAAAGTAAGGTGTTCTTGCAGCACGCCAGCGCACAGCAAATGACGCCATTGTCAATCATATTTTTTTTTCAAAACAAAATCGTTGATATGTCTTTGTTCCTGTAAACATTTAGCTTAGATATTTCTAACCTGTTTTGGGGTATGAAAAACGTTATATGTAAATATGTGGTCTTACTGGTCTCTTATTTAAACATATTCTGTATAGCAACGGTCATTGTTTGAAGGAAATAACCTTACTATGTTTGTTTGTTTGGTTGGTTTTACGGCCCACCAACACAATTTAGGTAATGATTTTGGCTAATCTCGGATGTTACAAGCAACACCAGGGATCAAAATCACCTCACCTACTGGAGCTAAGAAATGCATACACTCCAATTATTCAATCCCGTTTAGTCGCTGTGTAGAGATGAATTAGACGTTTTAAAGTTCATTCCGTTGGGTGAAAATGCGATATTTTAGCAGCGCCTTGTCCGGTATATACCGGAAAACGGTATTTATTGTAGCGCTCAAATCATTTTTAGTCTCACTTATTAATAGCACAAGTACAATATCTCACTTGACGTCAATTTTTACATCATTCTCGTCAACGCTAGAACAATTCAGAAATAACGGAGACGTGTGTAAATCTTCACGGTCCTTTAACAACGGCATTCCATTAAACAATTTTTTCTGAAACCATCTGTCATTAATATGAAGACAGATATAATTTTTCAGATAATGTCTTATTTCTTCATCGAGGTCTTTAAAGTCTACCTCTTCTTTAATAATGACTAGAAGATGGTTAGATTTTTCACGAAGAGCCCTCTCATAACCTACCCTGAAAGTAAACAAAGACCATTCATCTTGTACATGAGCCGGTGTCAATATAAAAATTGTTCTATCACTTCTTTCAACTGCATTCAGAATGTTTTCCTCAATGGAAGCACCGGCAACAAAATCTCTATCCGATATGCAACAACTAAATCCTTTCTCTTCAAGTAAGGGAAGTAACACGTTCAAAACGTAATCAAAGTCATTTTTGTGATACGAAATAAACGCGTGGCTTTGCATGCAAGCTTTTGGGGCAAGTGATTGATGATCAGAGTCGGCAAAGGCTTGCGAGTCATTTACTGTTCCTTCTGGAAAACTTTCCTTACATACACTGTCAATAAAGCATCTAGACATGTGCGTATTAGACCTACTAAAATGTACACTTGTCTTTGAGTCGAATTTTGGTTTCACAACTTGTGGCATGTAATATATTATTTTATTTCTGAACAATCTATCTTTAGAATCGACAAATCTCCCGCGCTTAATAAATCTATTCAAATCTTTGTCGCGTATATTTGTTCTGTTGATTCCATGTGAAACAATGATGCCGTAATGGGATCTTGTTGCCCGTATCTTTTCCTGCGCAATCAGCCAAGCCGTGATAAAACTGTCAGAAGTCGTCTGCCAATCGTCTGATAGGCAAACTATCATTCGCTTACTGTGCCTCACAGTTGTGTTAGATTCTCCTGAAATGAGTACCCTATGACAAAATCTCTTGCCATATCACATACAACGAAGTCGTAATTTTGATTTTCCAATAAAGTTACTATTTCGTCCATTACCCACTCTGTTTGCAGGCCCGAGTGCACAATAACACAGTCAAGATGTTCTCGGCGTTCTTGCGAATCTCTGTCAAACGGATGTATTCCAAAGTAAACAAACATCAAAACCTTGCATTCTAGCCGGTACGCGTATACCACTGCAAAGATTATCATAAAAATCAGTGTTAACACTGAGCAAGTCACCGTGGGTAAAACAACTTTTCCGAGTTGATCAAATTCTTCGTCACATGTAAATTTGTCGTCTGGTACCTCTAGCATAACCATTCCTTCTTCATTCTCTACCTTACATGATACTTTGTTCCAATTCAGTATCACGTTTTTGTTATTTCTGATCCAATTTTTCAGCCACAGTGTATTACAGTCACAGGTTAATGCATTTGGAAATATTGTTACAGATTTCAAGACGAGATTTGTAATCTCCTTTGGAATATAGGCCAACACATTGGAATGAAACCGTAAAGTGTGTAATGACGTCATTCGCCTTATCACATCTCCACTTAATGATTCTAATTTGTTTCTGCTTACATCAAATACAACTATTCTCTCCGGATAAGGTACGTTGTTGATGTTAGTTATGTTATTACCGCTATACCATAATTCAAGCTTTCCGTCCGGTAAGATGGTGTGGAACATATCCAATCCTTTATCCCTGCAATCGACTATTAAATGTTCTAATTTCGTTCTCTTGTAACAAACGCACTCTCTTGGACATTTTGGGACATTTACTTCACAATATGTTACCTCTGCATTGACAGATAACATTTTATGTCCGTTCAGTTCAGTTGGGGACTGGCAAATCCATTCATTGAAATAATAATCATTCTTTGGAATGGAACCATTTTCAGCCTTACCGTTCATAAAATCTACCAGTGGATTAATATTGCAATCACATTTGATTGGATTATTTGTTAGGTCGAATTTGTAATGGAGCAAAAGCACGGTGAGAAGTTTAGAACTTTCTTGCGGTAGATGCTTTGTTAATTGAATATTGGTGATGTTACAGTCACTTAAATCTACTTTTCTAAGAACTTCGTCTCGTTTGAGAACGTCTGATACGTCTGAGTCACTGCCTGTGTCGACCACTGTATTATACAACTGGAAATCAACAAATCCAAGTAAGAAATCAGTAAAGTTTCCAAACGATATATTCGTGGCACGGAAGTTGACAAGTTTTAGTCCTCTTAAATAGAACGGAAAATACGGTAAATCTGTGATCGGGTTAAATTGAAAGTGAATTTCCTTCAACTTAACGACACTCAAAGAAAATGAATCCGGATTGATTCTGACAATTTGGTTATGTTCTAGTCGAATGACCTCGATATTCTGTAACGGATGAAATATTGCTGTCGGAAGCGTTGTAAGTGAATTGTTCGCTAAACCAAGGTATCGTAACGAAGACAGATCATCAAATATATCAGCCGGCAATGTAATTATCATATTCCCGCCCAGTTCAAGCTTCTGTAATGACCTTAGACCTTTGAAAGAATCACGTGGTATATTTTGAAGCATGTTATTACTTAAATCAATGTTCTGCACACTTGTCAATTTTCTGAATGTTTTGCTACCTATTGCGTACAGTCCATTTCCTTTTAGACTTAATTTATCAATATGTCCATGGAATACGTATTCACTCAAATTCTTTATTTCGTTTCCTTCCAAATTAAAATATCGTCTGAATACATTGCTCGGCACTTTGATAAAATCTACGGCACTATAATGATTTTGCATCAACGGGCTTCTGGATAGATTTCTTGGAAGCATTGCCACGGTATCTGTCCATGGAAAGAAAAACGGAGGTGACGTTAGTAGATTACTAGGGAGCTCGAGTGATTGCAAATTTGGAAACATCTTTGACATTTGGTTCTGCTGCACATCTATTGTTATATTTTTCAGCATAATTTCAGCTAATTCTGGATAAGAAGAATTAATTTTCAACACGTGTGTTAGACTTTGGTTTTCAGAACCTAATTTTTCGTAAAGAAAAGTGACTAGATTATTTAGTCCAGCATTTTGATCGTTGTCAACAGTTTCATCGTTGGGTTCTATTTTCCCTGCGACGACAAGAACGCGTGTATCTCCAATAGTCAGTAAGTTGTCCAGGCTTTTCAAATTTATCGAGCAGTGTTTTATTTCCGTATGAATTATTATATGTTTCGCTCGTCCGCTATATTCCGTCAAATAAATACGGTTTCGGTCTCTACAGATTATACCCAAGATTTGAAATATCGGAAATTCCGGAAGCTTCATTTTCGGAACCATTTCAGTCAGGTTTAAGGAACAATTGTACGCACTCTCATCAGAAAGTTTCATGAAACTGAAAGAAATACTTCAAGCATTACATTTATTTGTGCATTGTACTTTATTTAATATGCATATATGAAAACTTAGGATGTATTTTATTGCAATGGTCCTTCATGGGAACTAAAATTTCCCCTGTAAGGACGTATATTAAGCAAATTACGTGAATTCACCTCAATTTTAAAATGTCAACAACCGTCTATGAATAAAATTGTTCACAGGTAAATGGTTGCCAAAAACAAAGCGTAAACAAAACAGTTGAAATGCATTTTAGGATGATGTTCCATGTCGCAGTTTCATGGGCAAATCTTCGCAAAGAAAATCTGTTGTTGTTTTAATAATTCTTTAAAATAAATTTGTCAAATATTCAAGAGAATTTATTTAAGTTCGATTGTGTAGGAAGTTACACACTTTCGAGACCGTGACTGGACCAAACCAGTACAGAGCAATGAGTTCAGTAGATTCTTGCTGAAGAAAACAACGGTTTGGTTTTACCCACGCGGGTTTATTGAAACTTGTCACGAGTAACTCCACCAAGGGGCGGCCAGCAAAGTTTAAAATTGTTTAAAGCACTTAACAAAAATAGTATTTGTACTATTCAACGGCGCACGATGTTTGAATTGGTGGACTTACTTGGTGGTGTTTCTGTCGTTATACTTGCAAAGCCGGGGGGGGTGGGTTTATTTTTTTTCTATTTTTTTTTTTTTATTTTTTTCCCGGGGAACTGAAAAAAAAACCATGCGGGGGCCAACCAAAAGCTGTTACCAGGCACATTCAACGAGCTTAAGTAAAGCTTCTAAAAGAAAAACAAAAAATCATGTATTCAGTTTTAAAAAGTTTAAAATTTTTTTCCCAAAGCTCTAAATAACAAACTTTTTTCGTTTTTGGGAAAAAAGGATTATTTTATAAAATGTAACAGTAAATTGTTTTTTTTTACTCCGAACCAATTAACTCATAATAAATTTGCAATGGGCAATAACAATACCTAGTTTTCACAAAAGCTTATTTCCTTTTAAGTTTCTGACTTTGGCATTGACCTTTAACCTTGGGGTCACTGTAACCTTAAACTTTGGCTCAATGGCCTCAAAATCCATAAAAAATAACTAACTAACCATGGGAATGTCTTTGCTAAGTTTTAACTTTATGATGCAGTGGCAGAAAAATATACTCATTAAATTCTAAAATGCCTGTGTATTATTTACTTATCACAACGCTTGTTACCTTTTCTGTTAAATGAAGAAAGAAATCCTGTCCTAGTTATATTTTGTGTACATTTTGTATTCCTCTGCCAGTTATGCGAAAAAACAAACAACAAAGAGATTTGCATTGTATTTTGTATATTTATTTGTTTGATTTTTTTCAGTTGCACTGCTTTTTCAAAAAACAGGGAATAGTTTTTTTCCCCCTATTTTTAATTTTTAATTTTTTCCAAAATCCGTTTTTGGGGGTTCGAACATTTTTTACTTACACTTGGTGCCCGGGAAAGATATGAGTTAAAAATCTTTATTTTTAAAGGGCCCCTTAGGGGTTATGTTTATTTTTAAAATATATAAATTTGGGGGTGCCCTTTTAAAAATTTCCAAATCTTACTCAGGGCCCCAATTTCCCCATCCTTATTAATTTTTGCTATAATTCCCACTTTTTTAAAGGGATTTTTCAAATTTTACAAACTTTTATTTTACATTTTTAACCCTTTTTTAAAAATTTAATTTTTCACATTGAGAAGTTTTTTTTGATTGAAAAAGCTATAACTTATTCTGAAACGAGCACGTTATAAAAATTTCCTGTTGCTCTTTTAAAAGAAGGAAAATTCAATCGTTTCTTAGCCATTATGTGCCTTTAAAAGGTTTTACATACTTATCTTGTTGTTGTGTTTTTTATTGTTATTTATTTATTTATTATTCTATTTTTATTTATTATATACTTTTAAATGAAATATTGAGAAATATTGATGAAATAAAATGCGTATTTTCATTTTCCGTATTTTCACTGTAAAAATTTATTTTTCACTGCAGTGAAACATATTTTCCGTATTTTCACTGGTGACCTGCCGGACTACTTTCTTTTAAATTCTGCCAGTACTCAAAATTTAAGGGAAAGTCTTTCAAATTTTAATGTCCAGAAAGAGAAAAATGTATATAATAAACAGAAAATTCAAGTTTTTTCTATAAATACATGATTTATTTTCATCTTGTGGCATGAAAATTACCATATTTCACTCGTGGCTACCGCCACTCATGAAATATTTATTTTCATACCACTCGATGAAAATAAATCATGTATTTATAGAAAAAACTTGAATATCCTCTATTTATTTATTTATGTTTGTGTATTCATTTATTTTGTTTGTGTTTGTTAATTTACTTATTTATTTATTTATACATTCATTCATTCATTCATTCATTCATTCATTCATTCATTCATTCATTCATTCATTCATTCATTCATTCATTCATTTATTTATTTATTTATTTATTTATTTATTTAATCCATCTGAGCGTTCCAACCATCAAATGTGTTTCTTCAGACAAAAAGACACCTGTTGCTATTTCGTGATACATGTATATTAATCTTAAACGTCAGGAATTTCCGATTTCGGCTCCACGGATTTTGAAGTTGAAATGAACAGTTCGAGTAGCTTAAGTCGTTTATTTCGTGAATCCGTCACACCTGAAATCGCGGATTTGTATAGTTGAATGTATAAATTCATCAAGTTTAAATTGTGAGTTCATGAAATTCAAATCGTGAAAACATGCATCCTATAACTTAAAATAACTTAAAATATAAACACTGGTATTTCGTATTTTCATGTATTTTCCATATTTTTTGTGATTATTATAAGTTTTTTAAGTTGCGTCCGTCCATCCGTCCGTCTATTCGTTCGTTCCTTCCTTCCTTCCTTCCTTCCTTCCTTCCTTCCTTCCTTCCTTCCTTCCTTCCTTCATTCATTCATTCATTCATTCATTCATTCATTCATTCATTCATTTTACTTATTTATTTATTTATTTATTTATTTATTTATTTATTTATTTATTTATTTATTTATTTATTTATTTATTTTTGATATTCATGCTTGGCGTCATACATGATAATCAGACAACTAAGTCCATGTTATTTTAGCAACTTGACGTGACACACCTTAAAAAACCCTATCTCAACATCAACTTTAATTAATGGACATGTATATATAAATCTAGATGAAAAAAAAAAAACATTTAAACCTACTGTTAGAGTACTTATATATTCCACATGTTAATCTACACTCAAGTCCTTTTCGCTGATTGATTGAAATTTTAATATTTTTTTTACTTGTAAACGTATCGTAAATCCCCCGTTTAAAAATCGTTACAATCGTTACATTGCTTCCGGGTAGGTACGGTGTATTTATTGGTCTGTGCCGATTTTTCATAATGGATAATGAGCAAAATCTGATCCATGGGCTTGATAAGGAAGAGAAAATATATATATAAACCGCATTTAAAGCATATAGTTTTGAATATCATGGCGACACGGAACATCGCAATGTTTGAGAATAGAGATAAAACATAAACAACTTCAAATGGTTTATTAACGGTCATTTTAGCTATTAAAAAGTAAAATACATGATATATCACATATGTGGATCAGAAGATAGTAAACACTCACCTAATCTGTCGAAAATTCATTGTAATCTTATAGTCTTCTTCGATATTATTATAATTTAGTATTTAAACTCCTATATAAGAGTTACAAAGACATAATAACGATTTTATATTTCCTGATTAGGTTTTAATTTGCGAGTTAGTTTCTTTTTTTATAGAACATTAGGACGCTTCCGTGGTTGTTCGATAAAAAGTATGTTTCGTCTTGTGACACAACAAAATGGTTACATGTAGGCCATTCGAGCACCCCCCAACCCCCCCCATTCGAGCCCGGCCACCCACCCCACCCCCGCCATTTGGAAAACGTCAGCGTTTACCCTTATTATTTTTGACGGAATTTGTTTATCATGTGGTTATGTGTCAGGTTATATAGCCGTATCAAACGGTTGTTTACAATATATCACCAGCATAACTGCTTTGGTTTTATACGCGAACAATTGTTAATCTAGAAAAAGAGATTCCTCTGAAGCATTAAAATAAGCAAAATTACATGAAAATTACAGACTCGGTTTGACTGAGTCTGTCCATGAGGGATAATGAAAAAGTGCATCATATGTCACGCCCCCTAGCACCGGCTTGAGTGGTTCTCAATTCTCAACTGGCATCTTGGTCTGCTCTGGTCGCTTGGTTAGAATCTGTTGCCACTGACAGGGTAAAACTAATGTCAATTTACATATAACTATTGTAGAATTTCACATTGACTATTTTTTGTTTCCTTTGTATTTTCCAATGTCCTTTTCGGCTTATAGTGGATAACCTCACATACCGATTATGTGCGAAAACAGGCCAAAACGTTGGCACATTTTAAATTTATTGTCATAAAAGATAAAGGGAAAAGTAAGTTAAGAGGCTAAATGTGCCTTAACCTAATAAATAAAGAAAATATTGACTATTTAGGCTTTTTATGTATTATTAAAATTCCAAATTTTTTTTAGAATTATTAAGGATTATAAATTTAATTTTAAAAGTTTTTTTAAAAGAAAAGCAAAGTGTTTTCAAAATAAATTTTTATACATTTGTTTTATAAAAATGTCCGAATTAAATTTGAAAAATAGTCCAAAAAATCAGTGTTTTTAATTGGAAAGAAACATTTATAATAAAAATGTTACAACTTTTCCTCGGACTTTTAACGGTTACTTTAGCATTAGGTTTAATTTTTTTATATTATTTTATATCGTTTCCATTCACTTATTTAATGAATTTGACAAATATATAAACTGCCTGTAGAATTTTCAAATAATATCTATTCTGCAAAATGCATCTTAAAATGTTTTTTTAACAAATACAAATTAATGTTTTCCAGGGCAATAAAAATATTATTTAATGTAAATTAAGATAGTTGTAAATCATTTGTTGTAATACTGCACGTTTGTAACGTCATTTTTCATTAGATAACCGTGACATATTCATAAACTTTAGTTATAATACTGCACGTTTGTAACGTCACTTTTCATTGGATAACCGTGACGTTTTTCATAAACTTAAAAGTTATAATACTGTCACTTTTCATTGGATATTCTTGACATTTATATGGTTTGCTGTATTGTAAATTCGTTATAAAGATTCTTGGCAGGTTATATGGCCGAATATAAACGGTTGTTCGCAATATAACTCTCGCCTGGCTACCCGGGTTATATATGCAAACAACCGTTTATATAGGGCCATATAACCTGTCAAAAAATCTTTATAAGTAATTAAATATATTTTTAATAACTACAATAGCAAACATTGACAATGTTTTATATATTTTTTTAGGCCAGAGGTCAACTGATTATTACTGTCCGTTTAGGTCAGGGGGTGTCGATTACACGTTATATGACCTGTATGCAGCCGGGGTTCGCCTTCAAAACACGTTTGCCCTCTCCTTCCAAGTCAAGGTAATTATCTTCTATAACTTTAACGCACTTCCAAGCTAAATATCTTATACTGATTTGTCCATGCTTCAATGTGGATAAACGGTAATCTAGTTATCATTTTAGGGAAAATCTTAAACTGGACAGTGACCAGTGAAAATCGGAAATTATCGCAAGTTTCCGTGTCTTAAATATCGGCAGACATCAAAATGCTTTGAAGTGATAGGGGACGCCGGAAACAAACTCATAAATACCGAAAGTTTTCCGAATTCTATATGCAGGAATATTTTTTTTCAACAGCTCTGGATGAAGTATTTACCATATACGTTTGACATATTCTTTAATTCCCGGGCGTTTATAAAAACGTCATACACACGCGGAGCAATACAATATAATGTGTGACTTCTTTACTCAAATATGATACATGTACATGTATACGGATAAAGACGAACTTAGGGTTACACGAACTCTTTATAAATGGAATATTTTTGTAGTTGTTGTTTTTCATTTTTATAGTGTCCAAATGACGCCCATATTTTGTTACAAGAGTCTGCAAATGATTACACAAACAACGTGATAGAAATAGTCCTTGGAGGTTGGGGAAACACCAAGTCTGTAATACGAGATGAACAGCAAGGGGCGGCAAAGGCGGAGTACACTGTAAGTTTTCAGCCTCAATGTCAGACACTCACATTGATTTCCCCATAGACTAGCTTACATAATAAGAAATGGTCCCTAATCCTACCTTAAAATTGAGTTTTCATGCTTAAGAGGTGATTTTTCTAGCAGAATGGAATGTCTGACATATAAAAATTATCCTGTTATATTGGGGTAGCCAACCAAATTGTTTACAAAATGACTTCAAAGAGGATTACTTCATTGATTTTTTTGGCTGATCACAGGACTGACATACACTTTTAATGAATGAAAATATCCAAGTCAAAAATTATCATAGACTCATCAGGGCTGGGAATCAAAACTGCGTCGTATCCTACAAAATGTAAACAAACGCCGCCATCTTGGAACGAAAAACGTATGTTTTTGTTTATAACTCTTTTTGTTTGAAATGACTGAAAACAAGATATATGTATTAACACGCTACACTATTTTCCGCTTCGTTCGGTATATGTTGCTTGCACAACTATTTTGTAAAACAAAAGTTATAGCGAACTTGCAACTCGAAGCGAGGCAGAATTTTGATGAAAATGTGTGGATACGACGCAGTTCATATTGCTTTATCTATCGTTTTTTCCTTCAAATCAATTATATATTTGTTTCAGAGTTTACCATAAACTTCGAAATATAATTTTGCATCATTTACTAAAATTTTATTAAAAAGAGATGTTTATTTCCTAAGAAAATAATGATTTTTACGAAATGATACGACTCAGTTGAAAATAAAATATGATACGACGCAGTTGTATTTTTGGCAGTCTTTTCAACAGGGATAATTTTGGCAATATATGTCCATTTTATGGAATAATCACTTGCGCTAGATAAAAACCCAGATCATTTGCGGTGTAAAGCAATGTTCTGTTGATTATTTAGAATACAATGTGTCATGTCCAATATAACATTTAATTTGAAAATTTACATTGCGGAAGATACTTTTCAGTTAAACATGAACACCTTATTGATCATAATATCTGAAATAATTTCTTATATTTTCCTGTATGTTCAATATTATTCCTATTTTTTTTCGCAAAAAAATGTAGAAATCTTTTAACTTGAATTCATTTTAGCTAGCTACGCTTTAAGTTAACTGTGGTTCTGCATGTTCTGGGTAATGACTGCTTTTTTGTGGTTTCTTTTCAAACTTTCACTCTACACATTAGCTTTACTAGGGGCGAGGACCTCAGGTGCGCCTTTGTGCATTATTTCAGGAAAAATGTTGTACCTGAAGAGAACCGTCGCAATTTTGAAACTAGTTTGATAGGTTTTCCACACAAAAGAATAAACAATCCCTGGTGGTTTTCGAATTCATAGCAGTTCAGTTCAAATGATTCGAATTCAGTAAACATAAACAGCTCGGTCTCGGTCGGACACACCTGTGATTTGTTTTTTCAAAAAAATTTGTTAACGTCAGCTGTACAACTAAGCAGCTTTTTTATTAACTTCTGGCGTGAAGTTTTAAGATTATAAATATTTGTAATAATTATAAAGAGAATAAAATTTAAATTTCTTATTTCGGTATGATAAATAATAATAAATAAAATACTTTTATTTCCTCCAATATTGAAGAGCATAACATATTTACAGAGGTGAACATAGATATATACATAAACAAGTATAATACATATTAACAGAATAGTATATCCAATTTAGCATCGTTCATATAGTAAGAAGAGATGCATTAGAAATATTTTACATTAACTACATAAATTATATCAGATATAGAAAACAAATATAACAAAATAAATGTTAACTTACAATTTGTCTCATGAGGTGTTATTTTGTCTTAAATGTTAACTAGTATACTATCAAATGTACAAACAGTTATCAAGGTATCATATATTGTTCAGGAGGTATACGTATGAAATATACAGACAAACATTAACTAGTATACTAACCAAGGTATCATATATATCTCAAGAGGTAAGTATAAAATGTACAGACAAAAATTAACTAGTATACTTATCAAGGTATCATATATATCTCAAGAGGTAAGTATCAAATGAACTAGTATACTTATCAAGGTATCATATATATCTCAAGAGGTAAGTATCAAATGAACACACAAATATTAGAGAAAAAAGAAAGTCACTAGTATCAGATATACAGGTTGCGTTGTGTGGATTGCAATATAGTTTGAATGTAATAGTTGAATTTTTATAATAGTTAACATGTATATATTTAATCAAATATTATAAGAAGGTATATATCCGTGTGCTTGTGATAAACATCATTATGTCACATAGATTACAGTAATTTAAATTAGAAATAAAAAAAAAAACACTGCTTACAGCATTAATTTTTATCCTTATAACATTATGTTGGCATATCTGTCACATTTGACAAAAGTCTATGCGGACGAAAACGAAAACGTATAGACTGATGAGATGACAATTACATGATATCATGTTATATATAAATATAGTTATACTATTTAGAGTTGGTTCCTATTTTGTTAGTTTTACAAGTCCTGTATTAGGTATTTATTACACCGAGTAAATTCCGGCTTTTTGTTCATTATAGAGACCTGGAACTCTATAAGATTTCACAGTCACCCTCCATGTACCAATTTTTTCTAGTTTGTGCGGATCTTTAAGAGATTACGAATAGACTTCGCAACTCTATAATTGCGCAACGCTAGACTGTCATTATCAGATGCTAGCCGGAAACACTGCCAGCATTGTTCCTCAGGTGACAACGCAAGAAGGTCTATAAATGTTGTCATTCCGCATTCCTCAATGACTGAGTCCCACAATCTGATTATATTGTTGTTGTTTACCGTACAGAAGCACATCAAGTGTACGATTTGATTTTCGCAAAGCCTGTTGCATTTTCTACATGTTACAACATATGAATGGGACATAAAACTACCTATACTTTCCATTAAAAAAGAACACATATACGCCGTTTTAGGGTTGTTTCTTGATACATACCACAGCGTCGCTGGCAATGAATACTGGATTATTCCACATAACTCACGTCTTGACAGTATTAATCGGTCAACACGCGTGTAGGTTGCAGTATTTGTAATGGCTGAGCGTAAAGTAACTTTCCATGCATATTTCGAAGGGAATACGCCACTTTCTAAATATGAGTAAAGGACACTTTCAAGATTATATTTCTGCAATAGTCTGTATACATCGGGTATAAATCCACGACTCTGATTGTCAAAGTTCAAATACTTTATCAGTCGCGTAATGAACACTTGTTTTGCCAAATATTGGCAAGGCAGACGACATAATTGGCCTAAGAAATTTAGCTTTCTGTAGTTTATAATTTCTTCAATACTGTCAATATTTATTGAACTTAAAGCAAAGTCAGTGGATGTATGGCGTTTAAATGTTTGCATAAACTTAACACAAAAGCGGTGAGACAATTCAAGTGTCCGAATGTCTGATGCTGAGTATACATTCCATAACTCACAACCGTAGAGGGCCTTTGGGAGTACGACTGAGCGGTAGATAATTCGACACGATAATCTGACCTAAATTTTCTGTTCAATATTGTGAAAACTTAATAATTTTTCAATACTGTTGAAAGATCATGTCTGCCTATATCTGTATCAAATTTATCGGTGCATAGCGTAAAATACCTTTGCAAAACGGACACCTTTTTTACAAAATAATTTGTAGTTGTATCATATGTAACTCGATTTTGAAAAGTTTTTTTGATGGAGAAGAATGATACTTAAGTTCAAATATAAAAAAAACATTCCGTAGACCTTTCCTCATCGGCGATAAAGAAACGCAGGGGTAAAATTCCGCGGCGCTGAACATAAAATGACTAAACGTAACGCATAACCTACTTACAAAAATATATTGTAGCTTAACCATTTATAATATAATTTTAAAATTTAATGTTCAGTTTCAAATAATAAAGCTCATATGTCCTCGTCGATTATTAAGAAAATGAATACAATAAAATCGGCACGTAAAAGACAGAAGTAATAACGGTTTTGACGCAAATTATTGCTAAAAACAAAAAACAAAGGTAGGCATGCAATTTGCGCATTCCCGATAGCGAGAGACCTTTTCAAAATTTGTAATTCTTTCTCTTTTTTTTAAAGAAAACAGTCATTCCTGATTAATACAGGGTCCAGTGGAGGTTACACTGGAATATTGAATTTTGTATCAAAAATAGTAATCACTCCCATTTCGAACTCACGGGAACAAGTTTATAAGCATGCTAAGGCAACATTAGAACACGTTGTCATATGGGTGTGCGATCACGTGTTTCAATGTATATTCCAGCAAACAAAAGACGTTGTACCAACGTTGTACTGACGTTAGACCCTGACGTTGGGTAAACGTTGACAGAAGGTTGGATTTGAAAGTTTTTTAGACGTCAGAATCCGACGTCTATACAACGTCATAAAATGACCCTCATCCAACCTTTTCTGACCATTATTTGGACATAATCAACCTTTTATGACCATTATCTGACCATAATCCAACCTTTTCTGACCAATATCTGACCATAATTCAACCTTTTCTGACCATTATCTGGCCATAATCCAACCTTATCTGACCATGATTTAACCTCATTTCAAACTTTTTGGAATATGATTTTTTTCTCATTTTAAGCTCATTAGTAGGGTAAACAAATAAGCATTATTATAATTTTAACAATTTATTTTCAATACGAATCACATGTACAAAACAATAAATGTGGTATTATAATATATTGCATTCGATACAGCGTTACGGAATTTGTAGATGCTTATGATCAGTACTAAAATGCGACCGAAAAATGCAGCCTTAATAGAATTGTATTACATTTCCATTTTTATGAAACCAATGAGTGACCTCTGCTTTTGACTTAAGTTGTAAACAAGAAATGTTGTTGGACGTTATTAGCATACCTAGCACATAATTTAAATAGTTTAACCAATATTCAGCCTGCAATGAAAATACAACTGCGTCGTATCATATTTTATTTTCAACTGAGTCGTATCATTTCGTAAAAAATCATTTTTTTCTTGGAAAATAAACATCTCTTTTAAATGAAAGTTAAGTAAATGATGCAAACTTATGTTTTGAAGTTTATGGTGAACTCTGAAAACGAGTATATAATTGATTTGAAGAAAAAACGATAGATAAAGCAATATGAACTGCGTCGTATCCACACATTTTCATCAAAATTCTGCCTCGCTTCGAGTTGCAAGTTCGCTATAACTTTTGTTTTACAAAATAGCTGTGCAAGCAACATATACCGAACGAAGCGGAAAATAGTGTAGCGTGTTAATACATATATCTTGTTTATCAGTCATTTCCAACAAAAAGAGTTTTAAACAAAAACATACATTTTTCGCTCCAAGATGGCGGCGTTTGTTTACATTTTGTAGGATACGACGCAGTTTTGATTCCCAGCCCTGCTCATGAAATATTTTATTTTCTCCAGAAAACAATGCAGTATTACTTTCTAAATTAGTTTTTATTACTTTAAAATACCCTGTTTTCATTCAATCATCTCATGTCCAATTGAATCATATGGTTTTCCCTGCACTTTTTTCAGCCAATCGCTGGTCATGTTACAATGCGATACTCTGACCTAAATTTCTGTGGTTGAACACCGCTAATAGAAGTCTTTTTAACTGAATTATATATTGTTATAAAACGTATAATAATATAATCCGTATAAAATACTATAAATAAAAAATATATTAAGTATAATAAATGCTGCTGAAGAAGGCCGACGGCTAATTCATATAAGCGTTCTTAAGTTTATACGACAAATTAGATTTTATCTCAGTCTATGAAAATATTTAATATATAACAGTACGAAAAATTTACCTATATTTGTAACACTTCGGATGCGTTGTATTTTTCATCAAGAATATAAATTTCAATATCTCATATGTATACGCTAGATGTGGTCATTGTCATCTACAATGCAATGCTATTCTACACGCTTTTATTCATATTTTCAAAAGTTCGCATTACTACAAGGCATAATGTACGAAAACTGTATAGTATTTGAATTCTACATTTAGTATTTTTCATATATAGTGTTGCACAATTCCATGCAAGTCTTTGCAGTCAATCCATAAATGCTAAGACATGCAAATATTAAGAAAGAGAAAAATGATTGGCCGTCATATGTGTCCAGTTTACCGTATGCGATATGCATTTCGAAAATTATCTTGATTGTCGCTGGTTGTCATGTAATCAAAGCTTATCTTTAACTTACAGGATACGGACATTGTGTCCGGGACAGAGTACCGCTATTTCTGGTTTAGCTGGGACAGTAACACAATAGCTGTTGGAAAAGGATCAACACCCTACACGAACGAACTCATGTCCTGGAACGGTCTAGCTCATGATGTGAACTATATCTCCATAGGTATTGGGTACGGCACGGACGGATATTGGAAGTTCATGATAGGTGAGTTCAATCGCAACTACTCGGCCCTTTCCGTCAGTCTTCGGTTATTATAGATAATAGCCGAGGCAGTTCCGAATGGTGAGGTTTATATTCAATCGCAACTACTCGGCCCTTTCCGTCATTCTTCGGATAAGGACCTCGAACATAATAGTATGAATACACAGAACGGATGCGGTATTCCGGTCTAGCCTACGCTAAGAAACTAATCATGTAAACAAATAGTAATTTAATGCTGGGAGTTGTTGACAAGTTTATTTCCAGTATATGTAGTAAAGGTCCACCTAAAATAAGTGAATTCATAGGTACAAAAGCAAACAATACATTATTTATATATTTACTAATATGGCTGTAGAAACCGAAAGTACAAAAACCAACCTGTTGACATTTATTTACAATTGAACATCTGTGGGCATATTTGAATTACAAATTCTTGTCAGACATATTTTCAACATAAGAGTACCGGAACAGACATAAGATGTTAAATATATGCATTTGTTTTACATTATTTCTGTTTCTGTTTACATCTGTAAACCATGTGGTAGAACTACTTTCAATCCGTATTGTTTCCGAGGTTAATATTATAGACAAGTAAAATGGTTTCCTGCGGTGACCGTTGAAGACCGGAGAAGGTCGAACATAAAACAATTATTTCTTTTTAAGAAAATGATTAAATAGGCGTATACCATTTTATGAATGATTCCGAGCAAAAAAATAAATAAAGTAAACACACAAGTTTACGCAGAAAATATCTCTATTTATTATGGCAGATGCCACTACGAATATTTTAACTTTGTAGATTTTCAGTATAAACAATTTATTGTTTGTAAAATTTGAGTAAGATATTAAAGAAACATTGATAATTTTCAAACACATCATTCAAGTTTTTCCACCTTAAAAGGTAAAATAATTATAGAAAATAAGAAAAATCACGTAATAGTTTTTTTGTTCTTAATTAGGGGTAATTCGGACTAATTCCCTACAGGTAAATCCGTAACGTACCGGCAAACGGTATTTAGCTAGGATTTCGAAAATGTCAATTATCCAATCATGTACGGTTTACAGATCACATGCTCCTCCATGTACCGAAAACAGGTCACGTGCTCCTCCTTGCCTCAACAGGTAAACGCGTACCAATACCCTGCGGTCTCCAGACCGCAGGGAATAATAGCCGAGGCAGTTCCGAATGGGTTTATATTCAATCGGAACATCTCGGCTATTATTCATAAAATCCGAAGTTTGACGGAAAGAGCCGAGAAGGTGCGATTGTGTCGATTCTATTTTCGCGACTTTAAGTAAAAGTCGCGTCGACACAGCTGAACTGTTGGTATAGTATTATGATAGTGACGAATATGGACACGTTTTTGTCTAAAAGAAATGTTCTGGAAATTTTGAAATGGCAAAAGTCATCAACCATCATCGTGCCCAAATTATAGTACTATGTTTTAATATATAAACTGTAATTACTTAATAATATCTTATTCATTAGTTCACTTATCAATGCGATATTTTCTAGAACAAGGCTTCATTGTAAAAATTAATTTGCTTTTCTTTTGCAAATAAATACATGTACGAGCTATACATGAAATAGAGGAACCTTTAATATATTTTTGTGCAATACTATCACCTGGTCCAGTGTTGCAAAGAAAAGATGAGGATCAGAATCAGGATCAGGATCAAATGATTCTACTTTTTCAATTTAACAAACTTATTTTGAGATAAGATTTAGGAATAACACCAATTACAATGATAATTGGACAAAAATAAGGATCAATTTAATTATCAAAATCTTATTTGGATCATTTTTTGATGCTGGCGTTTAATTTTTTGTGAACACGGACAAAGATGTACAGAAAGGCTACTTTTCGTAAAAAGCAGCGGTGCTAACATATTAATATAATATAATGCAAAGAAAAAGCAATTGTCCACAACTGTTAACCTTTCGTTTTGAAGCCGTCCGTTATATGACTATCTTCAGACATATTCCTTACATATAGAAAAAAATCAAATTATGTTTCTTGTTTCTTACTATTTTGTATTCATAAATATCATGTACAATACAGTTTCTTTTAACGTTATAAGCGTCGCTTCCATTTTCATTCTGTTAACGTTTTCATACAACATTTACACCTTGTATAGTTGACGGAAATTGGGCTGACTGGGGTACATGGGGATCATGCACGACCACGTGCGGAGGCGGAAGTACGGAGAGAACACGTGCATGCACAAACCCACCTGCTAGTAATGGTGGATCACAATGCACGGGCGACACTGAACAAACAACAACGTGTAACTCACAGAATTGTCCAAGTAAGGAATATTAATTCCAAACCATTATTGATAATCAAAGCCAGTGGTTAAAAAACTTTTTTTTTTTCAAAAATAAAACAACTTTAAAATGGTTTAAACATCATAGATAAAGATATTCAAAGATAGATAAAGATATTGCTTTTGAAGCAGCATGCCTCCATATTCATGCTATTGTTCTTGGAAATTTTGAAAACGTATTTAAAAGTATTATACATGTATTATGAAGTGAGCGAAGAAAGTAATTCACACATTGCAAATGACATTTACAAATCCATGAAAATTATCAAAAGAGGTCAAATATGCAAAACTAGGCCTTACTGCGTTAGTCACGCAGTAGAAATCTGATGATAAAGTCGGCTCAACAGTCATTAATCGCACATAACATGTCAATTATTTCTTGAATCTTATACCCTTTTACTTTTCTTAAAATCTTAGTACACCTTTCTGAAGTTTGATTTTCTTGAAAATTTTTGGCTCATCTGGAGGCATGCAGCTTTTAAAGCGCTTTAGTTTCTCTTACATTTGTTAGAGCAAGCCCCAAAATATTCAGACTCTTCAAAGATAAATTGCTGCTCATACATTTTCTCAAACTTAGATGCGAAATTTTATACCATCCGTAAAAGAGTTTCCGAAATAAGATGATAAATAGGTACCGGGCAATGTCAATCAGATTAATACCGACATTCAGATAATAGGGGCATTTTGGGATATAATTTGGTATTTCAGTTGATGGAAATTGGGGCTTATGGTCTCAGTGGAGTACTTGTTCAGCAACATGCGGAAACCAGACAATGTCCAGAACGAGGCTGTGCGATAGTCCTGCTGCGCAACATGGCGGTGCTTCCTGTTCCGGTTCAGACATTGAGACATCATCTTGCACTTTACCGTCTTGTCCAAGTACTAACCTTAAGTTACACCTACTTTCTGACAAAAGAAATACCATGCAGACTTGCCATGAATAAATGAGCTATACAATATCATATCGCAGCACTATATGTATACATGTACATATGCGTTGACTTATTCAAATACATCGATAAAAAAAGAAGCTTCACTTAACAATAAAGAGGAAAAAAATGTTCTGTTGGTTGACAAATTGCTTATTAAAAAAAATAAAACTTAGAAATCGTATGTTTTTTCGGAGCTTGACAAAAGTCACGATGACAATTGATCCCGGACATTCAGTCTGGTGGTCATTTGACCCAACTGACCCAACAAAAACCATGTGGGACAAGTGTCAGACTCTTGCCGAGAAAATGATATGTAATAACTGGTGTGTTATCCAGGAAAGTCGGTTTAGTGGATCAACAAGAAAGATATGACCAAAGTATGTTAAATCGGCATAACAGGCATAACAAAAGAAACCAAACAAACAGACTTACGTGCATTATGGAATCAACAAAAATAATTTAATTATGTCGATATGCTTCCTAAATTCAGTGATAAAACTTTTTTATCTTTCAATTATTTAATTATTTAGTTTTTTATGAATTTATTTTTTTTCTTTATTAAGTCGACGGAGATTGGGGAGCTTGGTCGTCAACATCGTGTAGCAAACCTTGTGGCTATGGAACGGTCGTTAAAACGAGGTCATGTGACTCGCCAGCACCGGCTCTTGGCGGTAACGACTGTTCAGGGGCCAGCAACGAAACGGACGTCTGCATCGCTGCATATTGTCCACCTGTTGGGAATTCTACATACGCAAATGTTTGTATCTAAGTTTATATTATATATAACATATAAATATGTGTTTGTATTTATGTTTGTACATTTTATCAAATCTTTGTGGTATTGTATATATAACTGTAACTGTTTGTGTCACGTTGTATGAAAAATTATTGCAAATTTAAAGCACGAAAATCTGTCGTATCTTTACAATTTAGGGTGACGCTTTCAGAAATACAGGTGATTATGTAATTAAAATGACGTCAGTAAAGAATCTTTAATCATAGATCTGTGTGAGTAAAAATTTACATTATAAGAGTAAGCAGAAGTCAGGCACAAACGATGCTCTTCATTCATTCATTCATTCATTCATTCATGCATATCTCATATTATTTGATACCTTGACATATAAAAAGATGACGTCATAATTGGTGTTCCGAGTCAAGATCAATATGTAGGTTCATGTATGAGCAGTGAGCATAATTTTATCGTTTATATTTTATTGCCCATTTCAGCAATGTGGGGTTGACATGTTTACGTGTTTTAACGGGACAATGACGTGTATTGACGATGTGTTCCGGTGTGACTGTCAATACGATTGCGATGACGGAAGTGATGAAGATGCCACGTGGGCCGGATGTGCCCCTAACTTATGTTCATCAGCAGGTAAGCAGTTTGAAATTCCGAGTAGGCGGCTTCGGAAGCATTTTTGTTTCAAATCACCACTATATTAATAGCCAAAAATAGTCCTTAACAATTTTTTAAAGTTGTTTGGGCACAATCTGACTAAAGTTCAGATCTGCTTAATTTATTTCTTGCATGTAGTAGCGTTAATAAGACAGAATACCGGGGGCCAAAGTTAATTGATACATATTAATTTATCATTGCTCAGACATGGATGCAGAAACAAGATAAAACTCATATTTTATATTTTCCATAACCTTGATGGCACTCATTTTAGAAACATCTTGTTTGTATCCGAATTAAATTTTGTTTTCTTTTATATAGATTTCTTAAATCAAAGCACGCCACGTGGATTTGATAATTATTTACTCCAAACAAAACACTTGATAAAACTAATAGATCTAATATACAACAGATTTGTTTTGTTGAAGTGATTATCTTTCCTACATGTTCAACCATGATTATTATTATTTTAGGCAGACCATGGCGCGGTGTAATGGTGATGGCGATGATGGTTTTGACAACACTCATGGTGTCCAGCAGAAAATTGTAAAGAATTATTACAATTAAATAATGCAGACACATGTGTAATTAAAAAAAAGATTATAAAGGAAGCATACATTTTTGTGTAAATAAAGTAAATAAATCTATCGTACTTTTACATGTATCCCCTACAATGCACATACCTGTAGTACCAAAACTCGTGCTACAATTTTATATTGTTTGATACATATGTGATTTTCTTTCCTTGTTTAAATAAAAAAATATTATTGAAATATACATGTGTTCTTTCTCTTCCTCGGAACGTCATTACAGTACTAAATAAAGGGTGTTACTTATTTTATATAGAAACAGAGATCAATGCTTTCAGTAAGAATATATACCTTCCCTCTTAAAAGTCCATTATGCCTCAGACATGCAATGAATTTTGTTTCTCAAATACTTTTTTTTGTTGGTATCTTGTTACAGTTTCCAAAAATACACTCATTTTCCATATACATTAACTATCTTTTGCTACTTTTGCTCTGTCAATGACACTATTAGTATTTTCAAACTATTTTGTATCGAGGTACTACTTTGTTTACACTTCAAATGTTGCCTTTGCGACTCATTACTACTTTCGCAGTACTCTTGTAAATTCATTTTTGAAACATTATATTAAACACTTGTTTGACATTACTAAAGAATTGAAAAATATGGCTTTCTGGATTGCTTTCACGTTCCCCACAAAAACAGAATCCCCCCTCCCTACACACACACGCGCACACACGCACACACAACAACAAAAAAAACAACAAACAAGCAAACAGACAAGAAAGAAAAGAAAAAGGTGAAACAACAACAAAAACACCATTGCTCTAGATAAAAACACGTTTTCTTGTGGTCTGTACGTATGCGATATACATTAATTCATCAATAAAACATAGGCTCCACAGAAACCACATATAGACAACTCTCCCCTGTAGTGCATGTATTTTTTAATTGTTTGAATTGTTTTAACATAGATCTATTTCAACACAATACTTATAATATCTCGACGATCGATCCAATTAACGGGCTGTCCGGGATAACAAACCAGACTACTTATGCCACATGATTTATGTATTAGCGGTCAAAGACAAATGACCGTAAGACGCAATGTCCCAGTTCAACGTAGATAATGCCTTGTCCGAGAATCAAAGCAGTGACCCCTGGATGTTTCCCCTTGTGAGCTAAGGAGTACGGAGGAAAGTGAAATTAAAATATAAATTGTCTGTCCAACTATTAAATGGTCCTTTAAAATGAACCATTTTAAAGTTTCACCTCTGATTCCATAGTCATGTATTTTCAGCAGTATTTTCTCATGACTGACCTTGTCGATTTCATGTCTTACTGAAATCTAAAAGAATCAGATCTTCTTATTTTTTTCTCATATACTGACGTGACCCGGTCATTTACCAACAGTAATACATGACCTTTTTTCCATGAAACCATGTTGGAGGGGTAGAGGATGAACTATGATTGTGTGTGTGTGTGTGTGTGTGTGTGCGCGCGCGCGCGCGTGTGCGTGTGTGTGTGTGTGTGTGTGTGTGTGCGTGTGTGTGTGTGTGTGTGTTTGTTTACCCTCGCCACCGAAAAGAAACCATATGGGCGAGCAAAGTGAAGTGGTTGGTGAAGTGTTTAACAATGGAGAAGGAAACTATGTGTTCCATAACCTTACACAGAACACATGTTAAGGAAATTGGTCTAAAATTGGCAGGGACTGACCTATCGCCTTTCTTGAAGAATGGGGCTGCATAGGCAGATTTCCATTGGGATGGTAACGAGCCTTCATCGATGGATCGACTTTTGGAAGATGACCTCTAGGAGCTCTTTGGACGCAAGGGATAGGGGAGATTTGGGGCTAAAGACTGACTGAAATTGCTTATTTAAAGCTGTAGCCTTTACAAGATACAAGAAACTTTATTTTAAGTCGGTTTACATATTACAAGAAACATTAGCTAATAAGCTATTTACCGACAATTTGAGACATTATCATGGTGAAACTTATTTTCATACGTTTTAATATGAATAAGAAACAAGTGAACAGACAATAACGGTCAAAAATCAACTAATATCACATAAAAATACGATTATGACTAGCTAAAGAAACAAGTTAGGGAGATCATATTATTGTTTAATTTTAAAGTTTAAAGTTCTTCGGAATTTCATTAGTACAGTAAGGCTTTTACTTCAAGGGAGGCAACTCCTGAGAGCTTGTTGAAAAAAAACAACCGCGCGCTTTTGTATGACGTCAATTTGTGATGGTGGAAATTCTTCGCATTCCGGTGCAGCCATTTTTGTTGTTATTGTAAGTTATTTCGATCAAAAGATGCGTGAACACATATAAATGCGTGTTATTGCGAAACTATTTGTAGGTGATTACGTCCTCTAAACTTTTAATACAGATCATAAACATAAAAGGCGAAGCAAAGTAAACAGGTAATGCTCCCCAAGACAATTTTTTATCGATTGCAAAGTTTCAGTGATACACATTTCGGACATGGGTTTTTTTTCGGCTGATGTAAATTAATTTAAGTCATTGTAGGCCATGAAGAAAGAAAAAAATAATCTACCCTTATCTGTACAATGGTAAAATACCTATCTGTAAGTTTAATCATAGACATAAGTTATTTTAAATTCCATGTTTAATTATTATTGAAATTGATTTTCATGCTTAATTTGATGGCAACCCTAGTCCTTCATTGAAAGACATCGCATTGTCTTTTTTTTTACATTTTGACGTTTATCGGAAAATGCGAAGCGGATTTGACCCATGTAAAAAATAGCTTCAAATCCGCGGTTATGTCTAAATATTTGGACTAATGACAACCCTATCTATTTTTTTCAGGTGTAAAACTTGTATATAATAAACTTTTGAAAACGGATTGAACCTTGCATATACGTCAATATATGAGCCAGGCATAGATCATTTTTCTATGTTACAGAAATATGTTTGTAAATTGTAAATTTTGACCAGATGTTGAGATCATTTTTGTAAATTATTAAATATTGGCAGTCTCAGATAGAACCTATTAAATATTAGCAGTCTCTTGGAATAGACCCCTATGGCAATACCAGCCTTTACTGCTAGCCGAAAGGTCTAGCCGCAAATGTCCTTCCTCTGGTGTTTTTGACTTAAAGGTCCATTATGCCTCAGAAATGCTACTGGTTGGGGACCACCAAAACCGGACAACCACCAAACCCGGACAGCCCCAAAAATGCTTAATTTAGTATTTTCTTTGTTCAGTGGTTGTCAGTCACTTTTTTATCAACAATAAAATGTGTAATTCTTCTAAAATTAAGTAAATAACTTTATTTCAACCTCTATAAATGGTAATATTTTAATGCCTATTTCAAGAATGTCGACGTTGAAATTTGGGGGTCAAGAAAGCAATGTCTGACCTCAAATACCAGCTATAATCATTTGCAGAGTGAATAATAGAATATCCAAAACTTCAGCATTTGTTGCTGACATATTGTATATCATGTTAAAAATCAAAAATCAAAACACCCAAGCTTTTATCTGAATTAAATCACGTCACGCACATATCTGTCCAGACACATGGTACTGTAGTGTAGACAATTTAGTTAATTTTGATACCTTCCTTGTCGAGCCTCTGATATAAGTGTCAATACAATCAGAAATAAACAAACTAGTTTGTTAGTTAGGAGAAGAACCTAGCTGAACTGTGTCAAATTTTTTGGTCTCTAGGTTAAAAATTATGAAATCTGTACGGAAAAATGTTCCAAAAGTGTCCGGTTGATGGTCTCTGACCAGTATCATTTTTATTTCACAAAACCTTTAAATATTTTGTTATCTTGTTACAGTTTCCAAAAAGTTACTCATTTGCCATATAGATGAACTGTCTTTTCATTATTTGATTGTTGGCAATCAGTATAATTTTAGTGAATAAATATTTTATAGCGAAATACAGAGGTGTTATCTATGTCTCTTAGTTTAAACATATTTTATTTCAAACATTTTCACATAAACAATTATTACATACAATCATAAGTTACATAAACAATGCTGAAAAAGGATTAGATCCGAAAGCATACAATGCTTATAGAGGTCTTTTCCTAACATATAATTCATTACTGTAAATTCGGCGGTAAATTACATGTTCGAAATAGTATATCATGAAACATTTTATTGATGATGAATGAAGAAAGACGAGGACGGCAAAAGTTTCTATTCAGAGCTAAAAGTAAAAAAAAAATAAGTAGTTGAAATAAGTTAGATAGGAAATCATGCTATAATATGTTTTAAAATCAACATGAAATGCTAATACTGTGACCTAGTGAAATGACACACAAAAACATATTTAGATTGATGGTCAGAAAAAGATGAGATTGATTCAGTAAAAATGGTGCAAATACATTATATTAAGGAAAAGATATTATTATAGAATCTATTCGGTATGTCAACGGAGTGAGCAGAGTTTTGCAAAGGACTATGGAAAACTATGTCTCTTGGACATCATGCTCTACAGTGTCTATTCTAGGACGCGCGATTGCGTGATTCACGCTAGTATTTAACAGATCGCGCACAATTCAAAATCATGTGCGTGAAAATCGCGCATCTATAAAAAAAGTTATTAAAACCGTAAAACTTCCATCCCGCATTATATTTGGTTGTTTTGTTTACATTTACACCGAAAACCAAAGGGAGGTAACTGTAAGCTAATTATAATAATTTAGTACCGTATGGTACTGGTTAAGTGAGTTGACAGAAATAAACGGAATGTTCCGTATCGACCGGAACTAGTGTGCTAGGTCTGACAGTTGGGCGCCATTTTAGTGTAGTAAATAATCAAGAAAAATGAGGCAATTCCTAGCTTGGCTACGATCTAGACGTGAAAGATAGTCCGATTATTTGTATTGCCAATCCCTTTATAATCAATCGCGGCAGTTCTGTAATAATTTGTTTTCGTTTAAAAATTAAGGGGGGACAACTTCTGCTGCCTTAAATAAATATTATCGTTTTAATTATTTCATCGGTTGAACGCCTCAGTGTAAACTTAATGCAGACAATTTAACATTGGCAGTTTATATTGGCACCCTTT